ATCCGTGTCAATCTGACATTGTAAGTACATTGCAATTCTTTGGCTGAGTGGGTGTCGATGTGTGGTAGACAGGAAGGTGGGAGTATGTTGTAATTAAATTGAATCCATTAAATCAGAATAAATTTTGTTTCCTCCTTGTTATGCAAATATAATTAAAAACTTCAAGTATTTTCAGAATAAATCATTTGCAAATTGTAAATGAAAATTGATTTAAAATTAATGTGAAATATTGATTAGATTAATTCTAAGACATTTGCTATTTGAAAATTAATGTATTTTCTTTTAATTTTATACTCTATTCATCTCACGTAGGAAAAGTTGTGGAAAAATGAAAAAATACAGAAATCCGATTACAAAGTCGGGCATACTGTGCAGTACTTTTTATAGAATAGAAGACTTTATCAATATTTTCTTAATGAACACACATGCGTCAACAAATTTTCAGTAAATTTTTCGAATATTTAGATAGATTTGCATGAGATGGTATCAGACGTCATATATACTTGGCAAGCGCTTAAGCTTTCGTTGCAGATTTTGTTTACCGATCACGAAGTTACACAAATTTTAATACCTGCGACGGTTTAAGAAGTGGTGGCTTTGCTTGAATTGAATTGTTGAAGAACTTCGGTGGCCACTATCAAGTACCTAACTCCTCTAAGCTCAAAATAAATGAAGGTGCGCTCTCTTATCGCATTTATTTTCAAATAAGAAAATGTCGACCAGATTTTGAGCTAATTAAAAACAGCCCTCTTAGTACAAATACTGAAGGAAGCTCCCAGCAACTATTTTTAAAATTTGGATTGTTCGCACTTTTTTTTTGTAAACCTTTCTGTAAACAATTGTGACATTTTCTCTTATAAATGCTTATCATAACCATTCTAACCAAGCGAAAGTCGATCTAAAGTTTTCGCTTTGCGACAAGCATATGATTGCACTGCAATTATAACTTTCAGCTAACTTAAATACACAACACAAGCACAATCAATCGGCAAAATCTCCTAAAGATTCTTCCTGGTATCTGTAATATAGGACGCCTCTGCCAAGATATATTCTCTCATACATATCGCAATATGATGTTGGAAAGACCAGTTACTGTCCTACCGCGGCAACTCTATAGTGCAGTCTTTGACGAAAATTGTTTATTCCCACTATTCATCATAAAATTTATATTTGAAGTACCTCTCGGAGAAATTTCTTGGAAGCTTTTTGGCAAGAACTCCTTTTTTTCATATTCTACAAGAAACAAAGAAATCTTTGAAGATTTTCACAAAAATTCCCCAATGATTGTATTATAAAACTTTATGCTTCAAAGTTAAGACAAAAATTGATTGTCTTGATTTAATAAAAAACCAATATTTTTCTATGATTGATAGTAAAAATAGTTTTTTTTGCTGCATATTCTGAATTCATGCGGTTCCTTGATTAAAGCTCGCAGAAAGGCTGCTTTGGAGAGTTCTTCAAGTTTAGCGCGTTACATCGAAGCCAAGACCGCTTGCTTACTCTTATCAGCAAACGAGATCTATTTGAAAAATATTCCTGCCATTACAGAGAGACTACCCCAAACGTTTACATAAGTCATGAAAAGACCTCCACTGAGCAGCGTAACCTACATGTGATTCAAGTAATGCTTTGATTTTTTTATCATCAAAGTCGATCATGAATTTTCCGCCTGGTATCAAATAAAACAAACTGATGTCAATGAGATGGAAGGAGAGAGTAAGACAAAAGAAAAATAATTCCATTCGCAATGTGCATATACAATGCATTTCCAATATTTGAAATAAATGCATTGAAAAGGTCTGGCGACAACAATACTTATCGACCCTATGCAGCCTATTAGATGGACGACCATTTAACTAACAAAGAAACATAAGACAACTTAATGGTAACGTTTAGTAAAAATCTTGTCGCTGATTCATCAACACCCACTTTTCTCATTTCAAATACAATAAATTTTCAATAAGAAAAACAAAGAAAAACTATTAAATAAAAAAAAAAAAAAAAAAAATAATAAGCGGCCGGATTTTTGTTTTTCAAGATATGCATACGTACATACATATATACGTATATATGTGTGCAGTAAGGAAAGCAGTTACCGGTTTTAAAACAATCACAGACAGCCAACAGCAACGATTTAATCTTTAAAACATTCATTCATTCATTCATGCATTTCGTATTATATAGCGGAGTCTGGTAAAGCGAAAAAGAAAACTTTAAAGGCAAACATGAATCATTTTTTTTTTAAGAAAAAAAAAAAAAAAAAAAAATTTTTTTTCAACTTTCTTGTGAGATTTTGGGTTTTTCGACTTGAGAGGCAAACCATAGAGAGAGAGAGAGAGAGAGACAGAGAGGAAGAAGAAAGATTTTCGAGTGTGGTGTGAGGAAACGTTAGCATAACAACCACAATTTCAACCGGGCCACAGTAATAGATAAACGGCATAATTGGAGATCACAAGAAATTGGCGAAATAGCCGCCATTCGTTTCATTTCATTTTGCAAACGATTTGCAGGCGAAGACGTAAGTAAGAAGTAAGAGCAGTAGGGAAATTTAGTATATAAATACTTGTTTGAAGTACCAACACTCTCAAGTAACAATAGTTAAAATGCCGGCTTACCACACGCCAACCGCACGATCTCCTTCTGTTTTTTCAACTCATTTTACACTCAAATTTACTTTTTATTATTTTTCGTAAATCTTATATAAATTTTTTTTCGCGTGTTTTCTCTGGTATCCGTTCATTACACTTCCATAACGGTATCGGCATTTAGACATTTCAAGTCCCAAACATTGTCTCGCTTGATATGCTCATATAGATATAACTACATGACTAAGACGATGGCGGCAGCAACAGCAACAGCAGCAGCAGCATTACTAACAGTAATTGCAATAGCATTAGTGGTGGTAACGGTCGTGATAGTATTGGTAGTTAGCTTACATTTAATTGTGTGATCTTCAATTATATTTAACATTGAACATACATTTCAAAGTCAATGGCGGACAAAATTTACATTTTTGATTGATAAAGTCAAGCTGGTTCAACTGATGTTTGACATCATTTTTAACAAATGTCTTAGCTTTTCACCACAATTACTGATGTCATCACCATAGATTGTTTGCATTGAATCTATGCGATGAAAGTCTTTTGTCAACGTCAGTCGTTAACGCAGAAACAATAACAAAAATAAATAAATAAATAAATAAATAAAACGAGAGAGAAATTATGCTCAGATAGGACCAATTTGCATCATTAACTCGTTTTAAAATCGGGCTGCTATGTGGAGCGGGACATCTGTTACTGTGAACAAATATAAAACAGATATTGTATCTTGATAGCAAATACTGAAGATAGCTATTAAATACCGTAAATTTCACTTGCGCATATGAAAAATCACATTATCCGAAGCTGCGTGAACTTTGTTCTGAAATAACTCAAGTGAAAATGATGTCAAGCATTGGACACGTTTTTCGGGATGCGTTATTATTTATGTTTCGTTAGTTGGTTGTTGGATTTGATACAAAAGCAGAAAATTCTGAATTCGACTTTTAACATTTAGTTTATACTCGATCTAGGGGAGTATTTGCGCTACGTTCTATCACCTTTTAAAGCTCCGCATGCCTTTGTTAATTTTTAAGTTCGACATGAGGGGCAATTACAGCCGGTTGCTTCTACTTGTATACATATATATACAATTTTATCGCACTAAGATTTATTGCAGCTTATATACGATATATCCATAGACATATATGATTTATTTTGAATTTTGATTTTTGGAATTTTGATGTGAACCGAAGGCAATAATGTAAATATAGATATCTAAAATTGTGCTTTCTTTTTTTACATTGGATACTTTTTAACGAAAATCAACAGAAAATGTCGAATTTTATGGAAATATTCGTCAAACGTGGGAAACTTTCTGCTAATCCGAGAAGGACAGCCTTGCTGAGTCGTTAAGGATGATGAGCAGTCGATGCGTTACGATATAAAAAATCTGAATATTCATGACGTAGATTAGACTAGACACTATTAGTAGCCGATTGTGGTGTATTAGAATTTGCTCCAACTAAATGAAATCATCTCATTATCGAACACTACCACCAGCAATTGGGATGAAACCGCTGCCCTCCACGGAGATATTAATTTTTTCGATTCGCTCTGCCTAATTGTGGAATGGAATATATAGTGATGGATAATACTTTCAATAAATCATTTTTTGTATTTTTCTTTCAATTGTCAATTTTTTGTTGATTAAAAAAAACAAACGTCGTTTACGCATCTAACTTGGTACCGTATACGGTGCATGAAATATACGACACATAATATTACACATAATTTGACAGAAATTTAGAAGGTTTGATGTGCTTTGTGCTTTCCAATCAATCAGCTCTAGGAAATCGATATGCAAATACATATCAAATCAGCCTGAAGCCCGTCCACTTTTGAATAGCGATATAATTGAATTGAACAGACGGCCGCCTCAAAAGAAAAAGAAGGAAAAAAATGGTATACAATTTTATAACCATGCGAGGCTTATTGGGAAAATTTATTCTATGCGTCGAATACTATTATGCAGCCATAAATTTACGACGCAAAAAATTCGAGCTAACTTTGTTAAAGCATACACACTGCCATACATAATAACTTAGTAGGGCTTGCTTGCTGTAGCAAAACCAATATAAAAAAAAGTAAGTATCGCCTGTAACCATGTCGTACGATTTGTTAAACAATATGATATGATGCCGCACTACGTAGCTTCAACATTAATAAACCACTGAACTATAGGATTCTGCTACATAAAGCAATACACATAGCTGCGTATCTTTATGAACGAACATGCTTCGCTAGGTTTACCTCAAAACCTATAACAAACTTTTCGCGTCGACATACAAACAAATTTTCGCGATTTAATTAAGAAAAGTTTTAACGAGCCATGGAAATGATTTTCTGATCAAGGCCGACCCAGACTTACTTGCTACAGAAGTAAATAAGTTTTTAACTTACCTTTCAGTCTCTGTTTCCGTATTAGATTGTACCTGTTGCTGTTGATTAGTTTGAATCTGTGATGGCTGTTGCTGGTGCTGTTGTTGCTGCTGCGGCGGTGGTTGCTGTTGCTGTTGAGTTTGCATTAATGTTTGATTATCAATAGAAGTTGCCGTAACTGTAGCTACATTGGCATTGCTTGTTAGGTTAGCCATAGCAGATGTCATATTTCTAGTTGTGTTTATAGTGTTGTTGTTGTTGCTAGTGTTGGCACCAATATTTACGGCTGTACCATCCATAGGTAATTGTGACTGTTGCTGTTGTTTCTGTGGCTGCATTAATGTTTGCTGCTGTTGCATATGCTGCTGTTGCTGCGATTGCATTTGCTGCGTTGCTTGATAGGGTGCTGGTGTAGTATTTGAGGGTATAACCATCGCGTTCACCGGACCCGCGTTTGGATTAACGACAACACTCGCTGGAGGCTGCTGCTGCTGTTGAGCCTGAATGTTAGCTAGTATAGCTGCATTATCGATCAATGTTGCGGGCGCACTCTGCTGCTGCTGTAATGAAGCCTGTTGAACACTCTGCTGCTGCATATCATAGCTTGCCATTTGCGTCAACACTGGCATGGTTTGACCAGCGCTTATTGGCTGCGACAATTGTTGCAATTGTGACGGTAATTGTTGACTTTGCGCAGGAGGCGGTTGTTGCTGTTGTTGGAGTTGTTGTTGTTGTTGCTGCTGTGTAGAAGGTAACGATTGATGCATTTGATGAGCATTAGCAGTAGCCAACATACTTGAAGCAGTTAATCCATCCGTTTGTGATGTCTGTTGTTGCAATTGCATTTGTTGCTGTTGGGGTGTATGCTGTTGCTGCATTTGTTGTTGCTGTTGCATTTGCTGCTGTTGCTGTATCTGCTGCTGTTGCGATATTTGTTGCTGTTGTTGGGGAGGCATTTGTTGTTGCTGCTGGCCTTGCAACTGTTGCGATGGCTGCACGTTCATCTGCTGTGGCGTTCCTTGTTGCTGCTTCTGCTGTTGTTGCTGCATACCAACCGTTGTCTCAGTCATTTGCGGAGACTGTTGCGGTGGAGTTTGGTGAGGCGTTGACTGATAATTACCTGCCACAAAATTTCCTGACATTTGCTGTTGTGGAGCTGGTGATAGTTGTTGTTGTTGCTGTACATCTATGTTATAGCCCATATTTTGCTGCTGTTCCATTATTTTCGTTTGGCCCGCTATAGGTTGCTGCTGCTGCGATTGCGGTTGTTGTATGGAAGGAGAAGGCACATTGCTGTGTTCAGTAGGTACGGGAATATTACCATTCTGTATGTGTATATTGCCCGGAAGAGTAGAGCCATGTTGAGCCTGAATCCCCTGTGTCTGGGCCGCCTGGGCTGGTATGTGTTGCTGCTGCATTGCTTCGAAATTAACAGGTTGCGATTGACCAGGCAAGTAGACGCCACCAGCAGCAGCCGCTGCAGCTGCTTTTTCCGATGCTGCTATAGCTTCTTCCTGCTTCTTTAGCTCTTCCAGTGACTTTTTTAATTGCTGCGCAGCGACTGTTGCGTAGTCCAGTGGCACTGCCTGCTGAGTTTGACCGACCTCTGATTGCGGTTGTATAGTCTGCACAGTTTGGGAATTTAGCTCTTGAGGCGGTGTGCTATACTGTTCTTGTTGGTTGGACGCTGTTACCGATGTTGGGGCAGATGGCACATTACCATTTTCGGTCCCCTCAGGAGTTTCAGCAAAAGCTGTTATACCATGCAGTACGGTAGCCGGGGCTGTGGCAACACCGCCGCCATCATTATTTTCTGCATAATTCCAGTTTTTATCGACTCCCGCGCCACCGGCCCCACCTCCACCTATACGAACCGGACCGCCTAAGCCCGCATTCATTGGTAAACTATTAGTGGTTGTATCCACATGATTCTCTAATGCAGTAGCAGCGCCTGGGCCCAAATTCATACTTTGCGTAGTTTTAGGTGGTTGGTCACTTGGTTCACCACCACCCATTTCATTATTTCCAGTCTTTTCGTTATTGTTGCCAGCACCATCGTCTTTACCAGTACCAGCACCTCCACCTCCGACCGTAGTATGATCAAGATAATCCATGCATACCCATCTGCCACGACGAAATGGTTCTGTAGATTCAATTTTCACTACTTTAAATCGCTCACTACGATGTTGAGCTGAATCTTTTAGATCGTCTTTTTTAATATTACCGCCGCCGGAGGTCACTGCAGCACTTACAACGTTAATAATGTTATCGGCCACGTTGACCTGCACATTCTGTATGGCTTGAGCACCCAATGTAGCTCCTAAATCAGGATCCACTACTACTAGTCCATATTGCGAACTAGTTGGAATGACAGGAGCAGTACTACTTAAAGCATTGTTGGCGTAATAAATCTCCTCCTTAGAGAAGGTATCTTCGGACATAGATGGTGTCTCATTTTCCAAATCTGTTATACGGCTATCGTCAGTGTGAGATTCGTCAAGATCGTCTGCAGACTCTTCGCCTCCATTATCATTAACAACAGGTATTTTGGGTTGGCCGACCGTTACGGAAGTGATTTGGAACGATGAAGTCGTCTTTGGCTTACGTGTTCCGCCGCCAGCATGGTTATGACCGGGGCCGTGCGCGTGGCCGTGACTGTGATGACTTCGAGTGGTTGATGCGGTAGTAGAACCCGCAGACTGACTGTTCACTCCACTGGCATTATTAATAGAAGACGAAGCCTTTGATGTTGACGATGCTTTAGATGCGGTCGTAATTTTACTAGCATTAGTGCTTGTCGATTTGGGTGCAGCAGAGACACTAGAACTTGAACTATCGTTAGTTATGTGAGAATTCAAACTAGTGCTACTAGTAGCATTTGATAAAGCCGAAGGATCTGATGCCGACGTTCCGCCCGGTATTGAATTCAGACGAAGACTTTCACTAGTGGTACGTTGTATGGCGGTCGTGTTATTGGTGGTAGCTGTTGAGTTAGAGGACGTATTATTGTGATGATGATGATGGTTAATCAAACTGTGTGGATGATGATGATAGTGATGTTTGCCAGCCGGAGCGTCAATAGTGGAATTATGTCTTTCTGTGGATGAACCGCCATTTGGACCGCCAGTTAATGACGAAACTTTCGCAAGCGAAGGTTTTTTTATGCTCGTAGTGCTGGCAGATCTAGGCGGTGTAGTGGTCTGTATAGTATTACGCCTCTGACCAGTGGCGTTAGTTGTCTTAAATTTGGCGGTAAGTTGGCGATCAATCATACTGGAGACTGTGCGTGATGGATGATGATTGGCAATAACAACTGTCTGTGGCTCTTCAGGAGACGAAGCTGAGTTCTCGTTAGGTGGTGTTATGGGCGAGGTTAGTTCCGATGACAGCTCCTCCGGATACTGGGGCGATGATGGCTGAGAATGCTGTTGCTGCTGTTGTTGCTGTTGTTGTTGTTGCTGCTGCTGCTGCTGCTGATGATGATGGTGATGAGGATGAGTTTGATGTTGTTGCGATTGCTGACCGGAATCTTCACTTGCGGTTTGATTCTCGGCCATAATCGGATTTTTGAGCGTGCGCAACGTTTTCAGCAGATAATCCAGGTTCGTAATTTTATTTTATATCACCCGGTTAAAGAAAATTATATACGGAATTTCTCTTAGGGAAATTTGTCGAAAAATAATACGCGTTCTGTATACTTAAATTTAAATGAGAACTTAAGCTAACGATTTGGCTTCACAATATTTGTCTAAACGATGAACGATGTTCTTGTCAAGTGCGTTTTGAAGAATAAAACGGGAATCTTTTAACAACGAAATTCGAAATAACTTATTTTCACTTTATATCACGATATCAAGACGTGATGTCACTTTGCCTACTTTTCAGAAAATACTTTCTAATGTCTTTCTTAAAATTCTGATGATTGTGATAATTTTTCTGGAGTGATTTTGCGTTTTTGCAAGTTGTAATGCAAGTCAAATGATCACTTTTTTTGCTTCTTAAGGTTTTGCAAAAAAGTAAAATAAATTAGATTTAATTGAATACGATCTTCACTAGCCACACATCACAGAACATCATCATAAAAATAGGCAAATGAATGACTATTATAAAGACGGTAACGAAAGCGACGACGACGACGACGACGACGACAATAGCGGCGACGACGAATACGGCGAATCGGACCACGATAATAGCGCAGTTGAATTGGTTGCAGATGAGATTTTTGTTGCCGTTGAAAACAAATGCAACAGTGACAAGTCTAAATTCGAACACAAACAACGATAATGATGATTATTCTCGCTTAATTTCGCGGTCTTTAATACGTTGGCGATATAATTAACTACGCGACGACAGTGATGCATATTGTAAGTGCGACTAAGCAAACATTTACGATCAAGATTTTCACGTGCATATAGAATCTTGAGCGCTGCATAACAGACACGACAACAGTTCCGTCTTAGATCTTTCTATAGAGCTAAGGCCAAGAAAAAAAAAAAAAGAAAAAAATTCAGCCCCCACTCTTCACTATACGCTAATCGTTCGTGTTTTAGGCAATGAAATCACTTGAAATTGTCAAACGTTGCACTCAATAATAATGCAAATGTGGTTCTGGAGAATTGCATGCAGCTGCAGATGAGTAGACGTTGACGATAGTTAATAGAGATGAAAATTTTCGTCTATTATCCGTTAGATGTATGGTGGTTTTTGCAAGTAAACGTTATCCGTACGCGAGTTATTATGTTTTCAACGGTGACACCATAAATCTCTGCTTAAGTTTCAACCTTTATCAAAGCAAAATCATTTTGAGGTTGCTGCGGCTGCTGTTATAGTTGCGGGTGTTGTTGCTATTGTTATTATTACTAATGATTATGATTTGATGACGGGGGCGATAGTAATATTTGCTGCTTTTTCTATACGTTGGGATTTTCACTTATTGTTATTGTTGTTTTTAGAGGGTGGTGTTTTTTTTTTTTTTGTTTTTTTGTTTTTTGTTTTTTTTTTTGTAAATTTATTTATTTTTTTTCTTTTAGTTTCAATTTATTTTTATCAAATGCTCTCCTTATTACTGTCTATTTTGAGTATGTATGGCGCGCGCGTACAATGTATCCTGGTATGAGTTATTGTTTATTGTAGTACGTAGTTGATGGATAAGCTTAACTAAGTTGACTTTGACTTTTGTCAATTTAACGATATTATTATTAAATTTCCGGTAATAAATTTCAATTAAAATTTTTACTCACGCACTCATAATCGAGAAAGTGACAAAAATTTTTATTTAATTTTTTTAAAAACTAAAATATTTCTAATTGATTTTATTTTGAAGAGATTTTTATTTTGATCAACGTTGTATAAGAAGAAAAATAAAAGAAATTAATTATAAACACTTTTTTTTCTTTCAATTTCTATACACGATGAAAATTATTTTATGGTGTTGAAAGTAAAAACAGAAAAAAAAATTTATAAAAATGTCTTTAACAATTTTTTATGCAGCGAAAATAACATAAAGATTTCCAGTCAGGAGTTGTTACTGCAAAAAAAAAGTGAAAAAAAGAAGAGAAAATATATGGAGAAAAATTAATATTTTTTGAAGAAAACCTAACGAAACACTTGTTGATTTTTGCAATAATTTTGCCAAAATCATCTAAACGTATACGTAAAAGAAAGAAACCAATCAACTCCATGAGCTATATTAAAGTCGTTTAAAAATAATACCAAAAATTGAGATTAACTATTCCCGCTTTACTTGATTTATATTGCGATGGCATGTTCAAAAATTCACTGATATTAAAGACAACAACTGCCAGCTCGCGACTTATCGCATCTAATGGCTTATAATTTATTTTCATTCATTCGCACTACTAGAGAGTTTCGATTATTCCTTTTTATTTATTTTACTCTTCTTTTTTGGCGCAGATCTTTAACCGGTTGCTTAATGTGAAACTGCAAGTAAACGATTGTTTATATTGCTTTACTTGTGCGCGTTCATAACGTATTATTATGGACTGCGTTGTTTGTTTTTACATAAACGCTAATATTTCTGAATAAATATTGAACTTATCAACAATAGTAGAGTTTAAGTTTTTAAAATCAATTGATTAATGAACAACAAGTAAGAAAATTATATTCGGTCATGACCGAATCATTTATACTCATCACTGTTGTCGCAAAAGAGGCAAAACAAGTAAAAGAAAGAAAAATTCATTCACTACGATATGAAACGGGCGCGGCTGATTTTTTTTATTTTCAAAAGCAACAAACGGCATGGCATCTCCTTTGCAAAGTTTAAATTACTGCGAAATTGTTTTGCAAGTTTGTAGACGATGTCTTCATTTTTGTTAGCGGGAGAATCTTTGCCACATATACTGCACGATTGGGCAGACAGACAGATGAATAGACGAACAAACCAGCATGCTTAAGTGCCTTCCAAATTTGAAATTAGCCAAGAATTTATATACTTTATGAGGCCTCTGAAGCTTTTTTCTACGCATAATAAAAAAATGAAATTGTGATAGGCGTGGCCATTTTTTCCATTTTTATTCAGGTACTACAGCATCGCCCATAGAATTTGCATTCGAATTTTCGGACATTTAACTGCTACGGTTTATGAGTAATGATTAAAAAATCAATTTTTTAATCCTTTAGAAAAACAGAGGCGTTCTAAGTTTTGCGTACCGATGCTGGCGTGCCCTTCGACCGATTTGACTCCTTTTCAATACAAAATTACGTATAAAAACTACTAATGTTTCTGCCACATTTCAAGTCGATAGCTTCATTTTTGCGGCTAAAAGAATGTTTGCAATAGACTTTACACAGACGGACCGATGGACATGCCTAAATCGATTTATAATTTAACGCTGATCAAGAATATTAATACTCTATGGGATCTCCGAAGCTTACTTCTCGACGTTACAAACGTTTTAATAAAATAAATATACCTCTCATCCTTCGGAGATGGGTATAAAAAAGAAAAACTTTCATTTAAATTTTAATAAATTTATTACTTCAGTTAAAAGAAACTTTAAATATTTAATAGCTTTATGTCTAAGGGGTGCCCTTTTTTTGCAAGCTTCCTTATTTCACTCAATTTACTTCTTTTCCAATTATGCACTAGCGTCAAGTGGATACAGCTTCACGGAGTTCCACGAAGTGATTAGCTGATCGCCTTGCGTAAAGATTATAAGACAGAGAGCTGTACGTTGTGAAAAAAATAATATAATTGAACCGGAGGGTGTATTTGCGCATTATACACTTTCAGAAACTGGATATCGTTACGATCAGATTTTAGTGTATTAATATTTTTCGATCTGGATCCAATAAAGCGAATCCCAGTGAGAGGCGCAATCAAAGAGGATATATAATGCAGACTTCGTATCATATTAATCTATTATTTTTATAATAATTTTTTGGACTAATGGAATAAATTCTCAGACAAAAAGAAAGAAAGCATTGAGCACTAGCCACACAGGCTATCAGCTCTATTATGGAAAAGAAAATTAGATATTGGACTAATAGTAGTTTTAATAAAATAACACATGGCATAGATATTGCACTCTGTAGCTGATTTCAGGATATGTATAGGATTAGTTGTTCCAAATGCAATTCTTCTAATAAAGGAAAACTTAACGCAGTCATAAAGAATGTGCTTTGATAAATTGTCGACAGTTGCAGATTGGAGAAGAAGACTTCTTTAAGTTCTGTTGGTGAAGGCGAATTCTCGAAAATGTTTTGATCTTGGTTTTCCCAATATTTGTTGAATATGAGAGTGGACTTAATTGAGAGTTAACAAAGGAAAAGAAAATAAAACATCTTTCTTTTTTAGCATTTTCTTCTTTGCACTTAGTTTATTTTTATTCACTACAGACGAACGCTATTAAAAATGTTTCGGATTGTGGCACCCTTGTCGCCTCTTCCTGTATAACATTTTAAAAAATCGTTGTATGAATAACTATGTTAAGTAAGGTGAATAGTTTATTATGGGTGATGGTCCATTTTTACATTTGAATTTGTCCTCATCGCGCTAGACATAATCATTACATCTAGTATTAGGCATAGATTAGTACATCGGCTCCACCCATTCGAATAGCTTAGTTGAATTGATTAATTACTCTAGAATGTGACAAAGAGCAGATCTTTGCTAGAAAGTGCTTGCAACTTATTATAAGCTTTTATTTAAATTCCCTTTTTCACAGGTAAATTTGAAATCGATATTTCAGGCACTTCCGAATGACCAATCGTGCTGAAATTTTGCACACGCCTGTAATTAAAATGCCAGCACAGTTTGAACAGACAACATTTCGCCTTTATTCGAAATGGTGATCGTCAGAAAGAAAGACCTATGCGGAAATTGTTCGTTTGGAAAGATTAACAAAACTTTTCTAAAAATTTATTAGAAATATAAACCGAGAGATTTAGCGCTGCAGAGAATTAGTATCAATAACAAAACGAAATAACTGTTTTGTTGGACATCGAAAAATTTACAAGCAGAGGGATTTGAGGAAATTTAAAAATAAATTCCTTTAGACAAGTAATTCTTCTACATAAAAAAGTTAATAAAATCTACGCTATTGTGAATTCATGACCC